TCCCTCTCTCTCCCTCCATCTCTCTCTCTCCCCCTCCTGACTGTACTGATGTCCTAATGTGACTGATGAGAGTCACATCGCTGATGTTCTGATGTAAGTAAATTGCTCACGCACACACACTCATGCATTACATTATAATGTGTGTGTGTGTGGGCATTTGATGAAAACAAACCCTTGCTTCATTAGGAGAAAAAATGTTGCCGTCCGCACGCAAAGTGAACATGATACAGGAGAACAGCTGCTGAACACAAACAACCATTAAACCTGATACTCCGAGTCTGTCTGTGTGTGTGTGCTAGGCACGGATTAGTGTGTGTGTGCGTGCTTGGCACGGGTTAGTGTGTGTGTGTTGTGTGCTTGGCACGGGTTAGTGTATGTGTGTGTGTGTGTCTGTCTGTCTGTCTGTGTGTGTGTGTGTGTGTCCACTTCAGATGTTGGCTACTGTACATGCAGTTTAGTTTTCTAACCCCTAGAGGGCCCAAAGTTACATGTACCTTTAAAATAAAAAAAATTAAAACATAAATTTAAACTAATTGAAAATATTAGTAAACACTATAATTGGATCTCAATGATACTAAAATAACACAGTAAAAATGATAATGGATGAATATACACACACACACACACACACACACACACACAAATGACTTCATCAAATCACGACAAATGCAGAATAATAAAGACTGCAGAATATTCCAACGCTTTTCAGAACAAAAGTATCGGCCAGAATAAGGACTAATGGTGTGTTCTATTACTGATCCGTGTCGGAGTTCCAACTAGGAGGACAGACGTTGCCTAGCAACACGCCTCGGATTTTCCCGCTCATTTAGGACAACCGCGAGGACACCGAGCAAGAATCCCGATACGGAATCCAAGATGGCTGCACCCTTGTTTTCGGAACGCTTTGGTCGTTTAAATGAGGATTTGATCACTCGTACAACAGCGTCCGCGGCACTGCCTGATCTGAGTGCAATCCTGAATGAAGCCTTATTTCAAACGGGTGTAGCTACCCTTCAGGATCACCGACACACCCCAGTCACGCAACACACGGCAAGTTAAAGGGATAGTTCACCCAAAAATGAAAATTCTGTCAGTATTTACTCACCCAAAACCTCTCTGTGTTTATTTGTTCTGCTGAACACAAATGAAGATATTTGGAAGAATGTTTTAATCAAACAGATCTCATTCCCCATTGACTACCATAGTATGTATTTTTTCCTACCATGGTAGTCAATGGGGAATGAGATCTGTTTGATTAAAACATTCTTCCAAACATCTTCATTTGTGTTCAGCAGAACAAATAAACACAGAGAGGTTTTGGGTGAGTAAATACTGACAGAATTTTCATTTTTGGGTGAACTATCCCTTTAAACGCGCCGCACATACACACATGCTTCTTCAGAGAGTATACAAATCTGGATGGAAAAATAATTTAGAGATCTGTGGCTGCATGTATGTGTTATTTAAAGCTTTTATTTGATCATGTTGTGTGTCAGAATCATACGATCGGATCGATTAAAGAGGGAAATTTTATTTCACACAGATCTCTAAACTCACGAAAGTGTGTGATTCTTCATTAGCTCATTAAGGGATCTCGTTAATCCTCACACGGTCATCATGATGTGTCCCGTGGACCCTGAGCTGATGTGGCTGTCTGACGGAGATCTTCAGGAGAACACACAGCCAGAAACCAGAAGTCACTTTCAAGAAACTGCTGAAGACATACCTTTTTCAACAGCACTTGATCCAGTAATACGAACACTTTCTCTTTTCTCTTCTCTTCTATTCTCTAAAAACAACAACCTGTGTTCATTTAATAGGGGTTACTGTCCTACTGTTAGTTTCACTGCTTCTATTGTTCTCATTTGTAAGTCGCTTTGGATAAAAGCGTCTGCTAAATGAAGAAATGTAAATTATATATATATATATATATATATATATAATTTTTCTATTAAGATTTTTCTCAAATTGATTTAGAAGCAGAGCAAACAGACAAAAGCTCAGTGTTGGCTTTAAGTCGCAGTCAGCAGACTCAGAACAGGCTGACGTCAAAAGACTGAGAGACTGTGTTGAAATATCATCATTCTGTGTGATGATCTTTGTTTGTAAAGGAATGATAGACGAACACACACTGCAACCCGGCGGAGTGTGAAGCTGTATTTGCTCAGATCAGAAACACGAGGCGTTTGGTTCCCCGCGGCTGACGACAATCGGCTCTGACAGACCAACACTGATGTGGGCCAACACAGACTTCCACTCCATTAACTCCCTGAGCACACACACACACACACACACACACACACACACACACACACACGAGTCTTTAACACACACTCATTATGAGTTAAACCATACATATTACGAATTCTGTAGAATTATTTATTATTTTAAATTTTTTATTATTATTATTTGTTCTGGAATAATTATAATAATATTAATTAATAATAATTACACAAATAATTGTCAAGGAAGCATATTGCCATGGTAATTTGAGGTATTTTGTTTGTTGTGATACACACACACACATGGAAGCGCTGTGGTTTCTCTCCTTTTCTCTCCAGTTTCCCTCTTTATTCTTCAAACACACACACACACACACACACACACACACACACACGAGCGCTGACGTCTCTGTTCCTGTGCCGGATCTGGTCTTCTTCCTGGTTTGTGCAGGATGAGATTTCAGACACTTCTTGCTCAATCTTTTTCTGCTCATGTGATCAACAGTTGTGAGATATTTCTCAACTATAATGAGATATTTGTAATAATGATACTGGTGAATTAATAAGAACACATACTGTACGAGAGTTTTCACATTTCAGTAAATCAATGATTTGGATAAAAAAATTTATTTATTTTTTTCATTTATTCAAACACATTTATTCAAATTGTCTATTAAATGTTTGCATTCCTCAAGCAGTCGCTCGAGTAGTAGATGCTTTAAAACGTCTCTTTTGCTGTATATAAAAGTTTTGGTCTTTGAGTGTGTGTTAAACAAGTTTATTCTGGACGTTTCACAACAAAAGATCCCATACTGAAAACCGATGATGAATCAGTAATGTGTGTGTGTGTGTGTGTGTGTGTGTGTGTGTGTGTGTGTGTGTGTGTGTGTGTGTGTGTGTGTGTGTGTGCGCTGATCTGAAAGTCTAAACTGATCATTAGTTGCAGAGCAGTAGCCGGGTTAAACCCAGACCATCTCAGTTTGTTGTCAGAGTTATGGTCTGGCAAAGCTTCATAGACAAATCACTTCCAGAGGGGCGTCACCAGCGGACGTAGATCAAATGCCACAAAGGCGGAATTGGATAGACCTAAAACCAATCAGAGCGCTGAAGGAGATGACGTATGCAGAGCGACGTTCTGTTTGAATAAACGAGCAGACAATCTGATGAACTACTTGCTCTACGTTTATTTAAAATTAACAGCAAGACAACTATAAGCGAATGTGCTTTCCATTATCGCACACAGTAAACAAAACCTTAACAAAAGAAAAACGTTGCAACGAACTTTGCAATTTAGACACGCAAACTGCGTGCCGGTGTGGTGAGACCACCTTACTGTGTATGGGTGAGACGTACATGCTCGGGCAGATCCGAGTCGTTCATCCTCGGACGCGGCGCCGCTACAGAAAGAGCCGTGCGCACAGCTAAAGGCCAATTTATACTTCTGCGTAGGGTGCGCGCAGTAGGTACGGCGTAGCATACGCACAGACGCGTCCCATACCGCGTACCCTTCGCCGTCGCCTGACGCGCACCTCCTCAAAAACGTAACTACACGTCGCGACGTCGCGGACCGCAAGATCGGTGATTGGTCGGCTTGGTAGCATCGCATTTCCTCCTACGCATTTCCGCACGTACCTTCTCACGCATTTCCACCACTGTCTATGATTTCCACACGTACCATCTCCTCCGACGTCTTCTCTCATTTCTGCCTTTCAGTTTTAGTAATTTCACTACAGTGAACTGTTTTTCCACCTCAATAAGCTCCAACTCCAACATGATCAGCTGTCTTTCAATCGCTATTGCTCGTAGTAACCTAGCCGCGAGGAATCTAAACACAGTGGAACAATAAAACTCTCCGCCGCCAACTAGCGTTTCGGAGCAGTACTGCAGAGCAACAAGACCTGAACGCAGAAGTATAAATGCTCACAACGGCGTCGCCTACGTGCGTAGCCAACGCCGCACATTACGGCGTACCCTCGACGCAGAAGTATAAATTGGCCTTGAGGGGAATGGGGTCGGTCTTGCGCACCGAACGCGTCATTTTTGCCGCGCACCTTCGGGCTCGTGCGGACGCGTCGAGTATAATATAAAGAAGGCTTTACTCCGTGTCAGCACGCTCTGATCGGTAAAGGTCAATCATCTCCAGTAGCGGCAGCAGTCTCTGAAGCTCCACTAACTCGGCCTCCGCTTCCCTCGTAAGCTGATATTAGTATTTAAACATTCTCTATGATAAAAATGTTTGTGAAAAAAATATTAATAACATGGTTTTGGCGGTTTTAGAGTTCTAATGACGGTGTTCAACTATAACCGTCACAGCCCTTTGTAAATGTACATAATCTGCTTCAGCGTCGCTGCGCTGTCGTCATCGTGTAAAGCCCGCCCTAACGTTTCTGATTGGTGCCGCGATTTCGGCGGATTTGCTCTTTTCCAGACTAACTTGCAGAGCAAATCTAAATTTGCCAGAAGTTGTCTGGGTTTTCCGAGGCTGGCAGAGCAGAACAACTGCAATATGAATCCTAACAGCAGAACAGCTTCATAATGTGATCACAATGATGTCTGTCATCAATATTCGATCTGAGAGATGATTCGGGTTCTTCCAAAGCAATCATTATTTCTTAAACTAAATTCTACATCAGTTATTAAATGTTTGAGACACAAACACTTGCAGCCGTTTACAGGCATAACATCCCAGCATTCCCTGAGTCTCACCTCTCATACACCCTCTAGTGGTGGTGGGAAAATACACACACACACACACACACACACACACAGGTGTCCTACCGCCGAAGAAGCTCTTGACGCGCAGGTAGCTGACGCTGAGGCGCAGGACCGAGAGCTTGTCGAGTTTGGAGATGACCTCGGGACAGAAGGGTAGCAGACTGGACAGGCGCTCCAGCTCGGCGTTCAGGCGCTCGCGGTGACGCTTCGACGGGTTCGACTTCTCCGTCGCCGGCGCTGGCTTTCTGCTGGATACACAACACACACTTATGAACAACTGACCGGATCACACACACTCTGATCTTTCCCAGCATACCAGAGTCACACAGCATGAACTGATCCAGCGACACTTTAATATGTAGTGCAATGTTCAGCGACAGAAAAATCAGATGAAAATCTAATGTCTGTAACGAGCTTCACACACACACACACACACACATAAATATTACTCAAGACAAGAAGTGAACATACTGTAATAAAGATCCACGTCAGAGTCGACTATAACGTTCAGTTATTCCGATGTCTACAAACAAGAGGCTTCCTAAAAACAATCATCAATAATTCCCCAGTTTGACTCTCGAGGGTTAAAGGTGAATATTGAATCAAACACATGAATCACCTGACTGACCTTTGACCCCTGACCCCGAGCACAGGTCACTTCACCTGACAGCAGAAACATCTAGAATATATCCAGTAATAAACTAACAAACACGGCAGAAGGAGTTTTCAAATAAACACAAATAGACCCGTTTCACAAGTTCAGCTTTACTTGCTTTAGAGCGACTGATTTCTGAAGAGGTTACATATATATAAAAATAATAATATATTAATCAACATAAATACTGGCAAAGCTTCATCTCAGGACAGTTACATTTAATATTCAACAATATGATTGATCCGCCTTCCTTCAGCTGGACTGAGACGCTGTTCTCTCAGTAAATCTGAAACACACACTGCTGTTCAGCAACGATAAAGTGGAGTTATGAAGAGTTATGAATCTACAGTTACAGGCAGTTTAAACCCGTTTGAGGATTTATTCATGTTAATTTGCTTTAATATAGTCATTTCAAACTCTGGATCGTTTGACTCACTCTCTGATGTTGTTCAGCGTCAGTGAGCGTTTTCACTTTCATTACTTTGTTGTTTACCAATAATAATAACCGTTGATATTATCAAGTCACCTTTATTTCTATATTGCTTTTTACAACAGAGTGTGTGCGAGCCGCTTCACAGAGATAACAGGACAATAATGACACACACAGTGTGTGTCCAGAAGAGGATAGCGTCGCAGTCCAGCTTAAGGAGGTTCGGTGATGCTTCATTATTGTTGTAAAAAGTTATTAATTCAGATCATTTATATATATATATATATATATATATATATATATATATATGAAGAGTTCAGATGCAAAAGCCTCTAAATGCCATTTGAAATTTTCTTCTAGAATGACCATTTTTATCAAACTTGTATATTTAAGTTCAGTGATTTCACTTAAATGGCAATGATAATTACCTATTAATTGTTATTTAAGTGAAATTACTGAACTTAAATATACAAGTTTGATAAAAATCATCATTAAAGAAGAAAATTTCAAATGGCATTTAGAGGCTTTTGCATCTGAACTCTTCATATATATATTAGGGCTGTGCAAAGATTAATTGCGATTAATCGCATCAAAAATAAAAGTTTGTCTACATAATATATGTGTGTGTGCTGTGTATAATTCTTTTTTATATATAAATACACACACATGCATGTATATATTTAAGAACTATAAATACATAATCTATTTTATATTATATATAAATATTTAATATATGAATAACATATTTTCTTAAATATATACATGCATGTGTGTGTGTGTATTTCTATATACAGAATAATTATACACAGCACACACACACACACACACACACACACATATATTATGCAAACAAACATTTATTTTGGATGCGATTAATCGCAGTTAATCTATTAATATATATATACACACACACACCGGTATATATACAGCCATTCTGGAGTAAACCGTGATGTCATCCTCCAGCTCAATACAGGAGATTTTTGAATATTAAATGAAATGTCCAAACATCTGCATTTTTAAATGTCCAATATCCTTTCAAAGCAATCATGACCAGTGAGGAGTTTATTTCTAAACACTGATGATTTATGGTGATGATAACATATCAGGGGCAGGATTTAGGGCAGGGATGTGTCCCACAGTATCCAGTGACACTGATATTTTCCTAGCAATAATTTCGATCAAAACTTAAAATGCATTTATATGTTGATGTCCCTGTCCCCACGAATTTTAAAAATCAAACCTACGCCACTGTAATATATATATATATATATATATATATTTGTGTGTGTGTGTGTGTGTGTGTGTTTGTGTGCTACTGTATGTACAGTAGAGCGAGTCTTAACTGTTTCTGCACGGGTTTCCTCCTCTTTCTCCCGGCGTACAGACAGTCTCCCGGAGGAATCATCCTCAGCTGATGCTCTGAAACACACAAGACTTCAGTGATAACCATCATCATCATAAACAGTTGTGTGTGTGTGTGTGTGTGTGTGTGCATGCAGTCATATCACATCACTCATCACTCACACTTCTTTCAGTTTGACTCTATAGTTTAAACAGAGAATCAAATGAATGAATGAAGATTTATCCTTGAACATTCAAAGCGAGAGCTGATATCTAATAATCAATAAATCAAAATAAAGTACCTGGTGTGAAGATCGAGCGCAGAGTGAGCTGGAGGAGCAGAGACTCGAGTGTGTGTGACTGTGTTTTTTTGTGTGTGACTGTATGTGTGTGTGTGTGTGTGTTTGCTGTTATATACTGTGTTTCAGGTGGCGGATTCCACAGAATGACACGCCGGACTCTTCGCACGCGATTCTCAGCCACACACACACACACACACACACACACACACACACACACACACACACACACACTGAGGGGAGGGATCTGTCTCTCTCTCTGCCTCCGTCTCTTCAGAAGCTCATATGAAGTCGTCATGGACAGACGGATTTTAACGGAATAAAAGATGAAACATTTAAACATCGGATTTCAAGAAAAGCCTCCTGAAGTTGAACAGATCTGCTCATTTCTGTTTCTCTTGGTTTAAAGCGGGAATTATTCGACAGGAAACACACTCTGATCGACTGGAAATGAGCAGAAACGATCATCGGCGGTTTGACGCGCAATAACGATAATAAAGGATAACATGTGGTAAAATCTCAAACTTTCTGAAGTTTTCTTGATTACTAAAGCACTTGTGGGGAATTGTATATCATTATCTTTTGTTTGTTTGCATAAATTGCGACTCGGGCGAGTCAACTGCGCCGACTGACTGAGACCGACCGACACCGGACAGAGTCGCGCGGTATGGAAGCCGAGAGTGACGTGTGTCGTCAAAGTCCGATTTATTTATGGCGCTTTTACAATACTGATGGTTTTAAAGCAGCTTACAGTAATATAATAACAGGAAAATAATGCCAACAAAGATTGTTTCGGCTGTACAGCAGATCTTGAAGGAAATAATGCCATAGTCCAAGTAACTTCAGTGATGGTTCATTTTGGCAGTAAAAAAGTTATTAATTTAGTTCATTAATATAGCGGCTCTGGAGTAAACCGTGATGCCATCGTCCAGCTCAGTTCTCATATAATGCTGTCAGTGCAGGAGAGCAATAATATTGCCGAATACAGTGTCGTTTTGTTAATGGCTAAACGTTTATTTATTTATTTATTTAGGGATACAAATATGCTTCTCGGTTCATGCGTTTAGGCTACTTTAATATATATATATATATATATATATATATATATATATATATATATATATATATATATATATATATATTATTACAACTAAAATTAGTTAATTATTTATTTATTTATTTATTGAAAATGACTCACTGTGACCATAAGGAACTTGAAGACATTTGCTCATACATCACCTTCTAAATCATGTTTTGCTTAGTGTTTGTGTGTGTGTGTGTGTGAGAGAGAGAGAGAGAGAGTGCGAGTGTGTGTGTGTGTGAGAGAGAGAGAGATATTTGAGTGTTGTGATGCAATGCAGGATAAATCCCATCCGTCTCTACAGGATCATCCTGTTTAATCTCCCACAATCCCTCACTGTACTGACACACAATCAGGTGTCTCTCTGCACGCAACCGTTCACACAACCCACTGTACATCTGATGCCTTAAACCAGGGGTTCTCAAACAGTTTAAGGCCAGGGACCCTTTACAGGGGAAAACAATCCCAGGACCCCCATAACAGTGATTGAGCACTTATAAGTTAATGTGTGAGCAGCTAATGAAATATTTTTGCACAAATGGTCTCCACCTTATGCAGGAATTTCTAAATAGCATACTGCTTATATCGACTGTAATTGACTAAAAAAATACAGTATATCTGTGTTAAACATGAATCTATAACGTTAATCTCATGGCACATGATGCTTCACTTGATCTGTAGTTACTTCCTTTGCAAAAGCTGAGCTTCTTTTATTGATACTTTGCAAACTAATTGTTTCAGTCGTTTGTTTAAAACTTGTATCTACCCTAACTGGGGAAGGACTCTTGCTGTGCTTGGACATTTCTGTGTGAGAAAAACTTATTAGCCATTCGTTAGCATAGCTAAACAGGTTAAATCTTTCTCCTTTTGACAAGAATCAGCTTTCCTCCCTCCGGAGCCGTGGATGAGGGAGCAGCAGCTCGGGGAAAGACTTCAGAACAGGGGGAACGAGGCCTGCGACTGCCTTTATATGCAAATATATACATATATATGCCCACGTCGTCATGCGCAATTGGCCCTTCTGGCCCTTAGACCCCATTTACACCTGGTATTAAAATGCGATCTGTATCCAGATAAGTTATCCGGATAATAAAAAACGCATGTTAATGCAAGGTGTAAATGCGTTGTGATCGGATCGTGATCGGATCTGCCTGACCACATCTGAAGGTAGTCTGGCTCGCATTGTGTCCGGATCTTTACTAGGTGTAAACGCAATCTGGTTGTTGAAACCACATATGTATATGTTTTCTCCTCCCAAAAATGCAAAAAATAAACGAGTGAGAGCTTATTATATAGGCTATATGTCATGTTCTAGTCAGATATGACGGCGCTACTGCGACACGCATCACCCATCACCGCAGATGAGCGTCTATTCATCGAGCCAACGTGCAAACATCGCAAATAAAAGTGAAAGTAAGTCACAGACGCTTAACACACAATCATCTTCAAGTAAAGAAACAAAATTATCTTACCAGCGCTGTTGCCACTTTCTTACTGATGTCTTTGATTTGGAAATTAGCTGATGATCTGTTGCTTTTGGTGGCGTGCAATCCATTAAATCTGCATATAACGCGGGAGTTTAAGATCGGATTTATATCCGTTTTGCAAAAACACATTTATGTGGCCAGGTGTAAATGGAATCGGTACTTATTATCCGGATAACTTATCACGCATTTTAATACCAGGTGTAAATGGGGTCTTAGTCACGCGACTGAACAGGAACTCAATCATGCAATGAAACCCATCACAACGAACGATCAGCTGTGCTCAATTTTCCAGACTCAGTAAGACTCTGTTTATGCTCAGATTCTTGTTATTTTTATGTATTTGGCAGAAATGACTCGGTTTAATCAGATGATTTAAGTCTCTGAGCACAAACACACACAGAAAGAAGCAGGGACATGAGTAATCGCATGTTTGCAAACATCAGGCATGTTCAGTGGGCTGGAAGTAAATCCGCTGTGATTGAGGTCAGCGAGCCGCGGGCAGATCGAGTGATGAACCGAGTCACTGATTCAGGAGGAACTCTCGGCACACCTGATCCGGCTCAGAGCTGTTCCTGGCCTTCACTGACCACAACAACTTCTGAGCTAACATCCAACACAACACACATGGTCTGAAATTGAGTTTCATTCATTTTTGAAGAGCAGAACGAGATTGGGACGGTAAAGACAAAATTGCTCTGTTTGCTGTGAGAGTATTACATTGTGAAATATGAATATACTGTAGGGCTAAACTAATTTATTTCAACACATACTTTTAGAGTTTCATCCTATTTAATCAATGCAAGAAGTTCAAGTATCAGGACAATTAAAGCAAATGCAAAAGTGCAGTGCGATGAAAGCAGTAAATCCGTGACTCACCGACATCAGACTCTTGCTCTCATCCTCTGCTTTCACACGGCCCCTTTGACCTGTTTGGGGAGTTAGAGATGCTCCACTCGCTCACAATCGTCCAGGAATGGTTTGAGAAACATGATGATGATGAAGAGTTAAAGGTGCTGACCTCCTGATTCCCCAGATCTGATGAAGCTTCTGCTGCGACAGCGGATCATCTGACCCATCCTCACTATCAAGAAGCGACACGCATGACCTCGAAACTGGTCTAATAAAGTCCCTCTGTGGAGAGAATCCAGCGTTTAATGTTGTTTATGTGTGTGTGTGGTGTGTTTAATCCGCTGTAACACACACACCGTGTGTGCGTTGATAAGTGGACAGCATTGCTGAGTATTTCCTCCTTAAAACTGCAGTGAACCAAAGACAGTCTCAAAAACACACTTTGGTGTTTCTGACGTCACAAACCACCTTGTAACCAATCAGATCAACGTGTGATCGTCACTCTGAGGGAGGGAGTGAGTGGAGGCGGGGCTCGTTTGCATATTCATAGAACCGCGCATACTAAATGAGGCAAGGGTATCAAGTTATATTCAAGATGTTTTAAGGCAGGAATAGAAAAATTTCAAGGAATTTGTTATTAAATATGTAATTTTGGTGATCAATGATGAGTTAAGGGATACAATTATTGACCACAAGGGGGATTTAATAACGTACCAAAAGCATTAAGATGTTTTATTTTCAATGCACTGAAACAGTTTCAGAAGAGTGAAAGACAAATGTGCTTAAACACACTCCATAAGTACAAATAAAACACAAAATAATAATGATAATAAATGATAGTCCTGCACAACCAAAGAACAGAATATCCATCAATGATGCCCTCTGCTCATGACCCGATCATCACGCGGCGCCCCCTGGTGTGAGGCGAGGGTATTACACCTGCATCCCGCTCTTCACTCTTCCCTCAGCGTCTGCCGGACCGCAGCTGGTGTCGACTCCAGCCTGACGGGGCTGAACACACACTTCATCAGGACGACACACAACACGAGCGCGTGTGCATGAGTGGTCGCTGGTCGTGCCGGCCACGGGTTGGTTATGAGCACCAGAGCAAAGTAATGGATGCACAGCTGACATTTAAAGCAAACGCTGTAACATTTCATTAGAAAAGCTTTAAACGCCTCTAATATCAGTGTGAGAGCACATGTGGTGGCCAGAAGATCAGTGTGTTTTAGCATCGGTGTGTTCGTTAGAGTCACTCACAGCGCGGGCGCCCCGCGGGCCGAGGGTTGCTGGCGCTGCTGCCAAACGAAGACTGGAAGTTATGGATGGTTTCTTGTAAGATCTGTCTTTCCCTGCCCTGCCATGAGAAGATATTCATCACGTTCACAGTTAAACTGAGCCTGTAGTTCAAACCGAGGTGCAGAAACTCACTTTCCCAGCGTTCAGCTCTGAAATGGCCGCCAGGATCTGCTGTCGCGGTCCGTCAGTTTTAATGCCCAGCTCCTTCAGGTCTCCGTCCGTCAGCGTCAGAAACGCCTCCATGTCCACCTGCGTCCAGCACGACATCAACAACCAGGATAATCACACACGGACACAACAGTTCATCATCTGGATGCTCGTCTGTTTGTTGCCAGGAAGAACAAACGTTTTAAAAGTGTCTGACAGCGCTCGGCAATATGACCCGGCCAATCAGAGCCAAGGAGGCGTTGGTGTTTACAGAGGCTTAACACATGCTTCGGGTTAAAGACACGTCAGATTAAAGCATCTGCTAAATGC